CCATACTAAACTAAAAAAACAAAATTGTGTGTTTGGCGTTCTTTGTATGTATATATGTGTCATGACATGGTGGAATCCATTTGTGTGTTTGGTGTTCTTTGTATGTATATATATGTCCTGACATGGTGGAATCCATTTGTGTGTTTGGTGTTCTTTGTATGTATATATATGTCCTGACATGGTGGAATCCATTTATCTTGAATAGAAGCTGAGATATTTGGGACGGAAGATGGTCAGGTGGCCTAGTTTTAGACCTTTAAATTAGTGAGACAACGTCGGCAAAGTTTGCTTGCTTCCATAGCTTAAGTCCTTGAAAACCGCAAATTTACATCTTTTTTTTGCCTTTAATCAACGTTCATCCATAAATCCACACATAATAGAGTTTTTGAACGGACATAAAAGGTGTTGAGGCAAAAAACAGGGGACCAATAAAGTGTAATTTAACATTTTAAATGTAAAAAACCCCCAAAAAACATGGCGGTGTAAAACATTATGACAGCCATCCAGAAGCTTACCCCCTGCAGCGTGTTGAGCTTCCTGCGGAGACAGTCGATGGTTTCCTCTGACTGTATAGAATCAATCTTCGTTCGTCACATACACCAGCCAGATTCCCTCAGGCCATCCCGAAGGGCAAGACACAACCCTCATTCCAAGCTTCTCGCACAGAACAATAGTTTTTAGTTTTATTTTAGTACGAGTTTTACGGCGCTCACAACTGCATTAGGTCATATGAGCCCACGAAACAAGTTGGGTGCATTCCACAACAGTTAACTGCATGGTTTGACTTTGGTCAACATTTCTATTAAAATGTTAAAATGTAAAAAATTCGAGGTAAAAACATTTTTTTAGTCTAAATACACTTTTTAAATAACATTAAAATTTTTAATAACGTTATTTGTAAATAACCAAAAGAACCAACAGCCTTTAGAAAGTCGAGAATTCTGGTGGGACCAACGATGGAGAACAGATCTTGTAATTTTTTTGGCGTTTAAAATACTTCCTGCTACAATGAACCTCCTGCAGTGTATTGAGAGAGGTATAAAACGTGAAGATGGAAAACATTACGACAACTGTCAAGAAGTTTCTCTCCTTTATAGTAGAGGGTTATACGGCGCTCACAACTGCATATAAGGTCATATGAGCACCAAGTGGTGGATGTCAACAGAGAAGTCCTTACAGGGAATCAGGCTTACTCTGCTCACCTCTCTAG